ATATAATCTAACTTTGCTAAATCTGACAAAAAGTCTGTCACGTGGTGTCAACAAACATCTACTCACCCCAGATAGGGATCCAGTGTTAAACTAAATAATGATCTCACCCAAGTCCAACATAGAGAACCAATGTGCTCTTTGGGGTTCCTTTCAGGAGTGTGGTTGGGGGTTACTTGCAGGACAGTTCATAGAACTGTAATCCTGGAGTTCTCAGCCTGCCCTGAGGAGGAGCCTCTGTCCTTCAGGGTTAATGCAGAGTGAGCCTCCATGAAGAGCTGGTGTGCTTGGGACTGGAGAGATGCTCAGTGGTTAAGAGCACTGGCTGCTCTTGTAGAGGACCACGGTCCAATTCCCAGCACCCACATGGCAGTTAACAACTGTTTATAACTCCAGTAGCAGGGGATCCTATACCTCCCTCTGACCTCCATGGACATTGCACGACATGGGTACACTTACTCACATGTAGGGAAACCACTATACGTATAAAAACAGCAGAAAAATATTTTTAAAAACATGATGTGCTTTGTCATCATTCTAATTCTTACTGATTCTGAGAGTGCCGCACAAATTGGGCTTTCTGTGCCTTCCCCATGTCTGACCTCCTAATTACAGTCTGTAAATCATCAAGAGAAAAAGGATGTTAATATTTTAATAAGAAAATGGAAGTATTTATGTCAAGCTGGATTAAGCTGCGAAGTACTGGGGTTCACCAGTTCAATCTGCTGAAGTAAACCAGTATCAAAAATATTATTTGAAGAACAGTGTTTGGAAGACATTAAATCACAGATGCAGAAGGTCAGACTGTATTTGACACATGTGAGTCTTGCTTTGTGTTTTCGTGGTTGCTTTCTGCTGTCAGACCTAAGCATGGCAGTGAATCCTATCAGCTGGATACATGTTTTTTGGTGTTTTTTTTGGGACAGGGTCTCCCTGTGGCCCCAGTTGGCCTGGAACTCCCTAGGTAGACCAGACTGGCCTCAAACTCACAGAGATCCACCTGCCTCTGCCTCCCGAGTGCTGGGATTAAAGGTGTGCGCCACCATACCCGGCTTGGACACATTTTTAAAAGGGTGTGTGTGTGTTGAGATTTAAACTAGACACACTAAGGAGCTGTGGAGGTCCTGGACCCTCAAGGGAGCTCTTGCTGACATGTCTGTCAGGGGCTAAACTCTGTTGTTGGGGTCTCTTGTTTCCATGAAGTGCTTTGTTTCTTGAGAGGTCAGCCGGGAGGTGGGATTAACAGGAGGCATTTGTACTGGTGTACGCTCCTTACTTTTCTGGAACAAGTGAAGCTGTTAAATGCTTTTATTTTTGTTCTGTTCATGATCAAGCATGTACGCAATATGATAATACTAAACAAGCACCAGGATGTGACCAGTTAGGAAGACTTAACCAATACGGAGTTAAGATGGTTTTAATACAACTGAAAAGAGACCAACATGTGAACTGAAGTTGAATTCAAGTTTATCAAAAATTAACAGTTCATTTGTCATTACAAAAAAAGTGTTTCCAGAGGGCTGGAGAGATGGCTCAATGGTTAAGAGCACTGGCTGTTTTTGCAGAAGACCTGGGTTCGACTCCTAGCACCTACATGGTGACTAACAACTGTCCATAACTCCAGTTCCAGGGAATCCAATGCCCTCTTCTGACCTCTGTGGGCATTGCACAACATGGGAGCACTTACATACATGTAGGCAATACACTCATACACGTTAAATAAATAACTAAATAATTTTAAAAAGTGTGTCTTAAATGGCTCTCTATGATTAAAAAGTCCCTGGGGCATTCTAGTATTGATTTCTGTTTAGTTCACCTCCGTTGTAATAATGTGAACCACTGCTCCCTCCTGCCTTTAACAGGAAATAGAAAACAGAAAGCGAATCCGGAGGGGAAGGAGAAAAGCATTCAGGAAGGAAGGGTTTTCGAGGTACTTTGGGGGCTAAATGCCCTTGAAGTTCTAGTAATAGTTATAATAATAACTGAATTATAGTCATCCATGGGCTTTAATATTTGATTGTAGAACATGGTGATTTCACAGGACAGTTAATACTTTCATGACAATTTAGAACCCCAATTGCTTACTCTGTCTTTACTCACAGATTACTTAAATTCCCCCTGTTATATACATTGGGTAGACTGACGATGGAGGGAAATAGTTTGAGCTAACAGTTTAAAAAAAAGCTAAGTTTGAATTTAGGAATTTGGAGTAATAGTCGTTTTCCTTTAAGCAGAAATGCCGTGGGGTACACCTGCGATCCCAGCACTGGAGGAGTGGGGACCAGAGGACAAAGAAGAGGTTGCCAGGAAGCCTTAGCTACATTAGACCCTGCCTCAGAAGTAATAAACAAATAAATAAATGGGAAGAAACTGATTAGTATTGTGCTCTGCTGGGGAGTTGGGAGAGTGGCTGGCGGTCATGGCTCACCAGCTTGTCTGTTCTTGAGACACAGGATTTCAAATTTCAAAACAATTTTCACAAATATTTGATTAGACTTGGAGTCAGAGGGGGTCACTGTGAGGGACTGGGCAGGAAATATTAAGAAGGTTAAGGTACACAGCAATTGTATTAGGTGCTACATTTTGCTGATGAAGTCAATTTTCTTAAAATTAGCTTAACTTTTCTAATGTTTCAGTTCTTAGATTTAATTGAAAAAAATCTCAGAGTAAGTCACAGAGAAAACCCCTTTCTTCACTTTACCGTAGGTTTGTGACTAAACTGTTGGAAGACCTCATCTTCTTTGTGGCTGATGTGCCTAACAACGGACAGGAAGTTCTGGATGTGGTCATCAGCAAACCAAACCGGGAGCGGCAGAAACTGATGCGGGAACAGAACATACTGGCGCAGGTGACTTTCTTTCAAGGACTAAATTTGTGTATTTGATGTTTTGAGTTGTATCAGTGAAGTCTTGTATCAGTTATACTTGCTGCATAACAAGTGACCCCAAACAGATACTTATTACAGTTTTTGTCTGTTAAAAATCTAAGAGTAACCAGGTATGGTGGCGCATGCCTTTAATCCCAGCACTTGGGAGGCAGAGGCAGATGTATCTTTGTGAGTTCAAGGCCAGCCTGGTCTACATAGTGAGTTCCAGGACAGCTGGGGCTACAAGGAGACCCTGTCTCAAGAAAGACAAAATGGAGGGATAGCTGAGTGGTTAAGAGCACTGGCTGCTCATGCAGAAGGCCCAGGTTCAGTTCCCAGCACCGACACGGCAGCTAAAAACTGTCTGTAACTTCAGTTCCAGAGGATCTGACACCCTCTTCTGGTCTCTGCAGGCATTGCATGACATGGGTCATACAATGTAAGAAATACATTCATACACATAAATTAAAATTTCTGAAACATAGTATGAAAATGAATACACTAAAAGCACCAAACTTCCGGTTTAGCCAGAGACCTTGATTCAAGGCAATAAGGCAGAGAGTGATGGAGGAAGACACCACACATCTTCCACATTTCCACATGTGGGCACACAGACTGGCATACTCCCATGAATTTGCCCCCCCAACACATGCATACACACACACACACACACACACACACACACACACACACACATACACACTTACAAGTAAATGTAATTTCAAAAGAGAGCATCATTTCTTTCCTGAGTCTGTATACATTCGTTTAAGGAAAAATTCAGTAAATGGAAACCCTCCCTCTGAGTTTAAGAACAAAGCACCTCAACTATTCTGAAGAAATAAGACCTAGATCTCATATGCTCTTTACCACTTTTCCCTAATGGCAATAGCTTATAGAATTTTAGGTTGTAGTATAATTATCACAACCAGGACTCATGATACTTGGAAGATTTCAAGAGGAAGCAAACAAAACTCTACAGACCTCCAAAGCACCCTGAGTGGTCAAAGTATCTCCAGACCCTGCCCTGGAAAGCGTCTGGATGGATCTCCAGGTGATCTTGGGAGCTGTTGCCATCTGTCTCCTTCCTTTACCCTTCGTCTCTAGGACAGTGTGGCAGTCTGTTCTGAACTCCTAAATGTCCTGGGTAACATTCCAGAGCTTTTCCTTGAAAGTGTCAAGTTGCTCCTGTATCTTGTCTTCCTGAAATTATTCATAACATACCAGTAAATTAATGTATTTTCTAATAATGTGCACTCTCGCATTTACATGTTCTTTTAAAAAAACATTTTTATTATTTTTATTTTATGCGTATGCGTGTATTGCCTACATGTAGGTAAGGGCACCCATGTCATGCAATGCCCATGGACAGAAGAGGCTGTTGGATCCCCTGGAACTGGAGTTATGGACAGTGTTAGCTGCCATGTTGGTGCTGGGATTTGAACCTGGGTCTTCTGCAAGAGCAACCAGTGTTCTTAACTGCTGAGCCATCTCTCTAGCCCTTACATGTTCTTTTTATTGTGCTATATAATTAGCTTTTGTGTTAACCAGGCATGGACTCAAGGGAAATACTTAAACTATGTCATTAATATACTTTGTTGAGCTGCTGAAGGAAAACAGTAGACATATTGCTAATTGGTGTCTAGAGCTGATTGTCTTAAAACATAGTCAATGTATTTCTGAAATAAAATAAAAGGTCTCAGGCCCTTAGGTTTTCTGTAATTCTTTTACAAGAGGCATTTAATTCCAAAGACTTTTAGGACCTTGAATGAATTATTAATATATTTTCTAGCATGTCAAATCTTTTGTTTCATAATTAAAATATAACATTTAAATTATAAAATTCTTAAAGAAGAATATTGTCATATTTCATGAACTCTGAAGTGCAGTTTCTTACCGTTTTGTGTTCTTAGTTGAGGCCCATGGCCTTCCTCATAATGTCCTCATCCTGGTGACTCCTCTCCAGGATACCACCTGATGTCTGGCTGCCAGGGAGAATTGCCTCCTGACAGTGTGTGAGTGCATGTGCTCATGAGTGCAGTGCCCATGGAGCTGCCAGAAGAGGGCATTGGAGCCCTGGGCTCTGACGTGGGTGCTGGGATCTGGACTTGGGTCCTCTGCAAGAGCAGTAAGAACTCTTAACCACTGAGCATCTCTCCAGTCCCTCCCACTGCTTTCTAAATGCACCTGACCACAAACTTCCTGGCAAGATCTGGTTCCCTGGGGGCCCGGGTTAGTCCCGTGGCTCCTTATTTATTACATTTAAATGCTGTTGTGTTCAGTGCTCTGCCCACATGTATATTGTGAACAGTGAACAAGCTGCCTTACAAGGCAGTGCCTTACAAGCCACTGTTACTGGGCACATATATATTTAGAGTTATTTCCTCTTGCCTAGAAAGAGGTAGGATCAGTATTTGGAAGCCATTACTTGATGTTAAGTTTCAGGTAAGAAATAAATATGGGCTTTGTGTTATTTTGATTTGAAAAAGTTATAGAAAAATAATGAAAGAAACCATAAAACCTTCAGAAATTGTATTTTAGTTCACGAGTGTGTTCATGTAATTGAATATTTACCATTTTAATAAAACGTAATTTCTGTGCTGGATAGCTTTAGTGTCAACTTGACACACCTGAGTTGAGGGAGCCTCAGTTGGGGAATTGCCTCTATTGGACTGGCCTGTGGCCATGTCTGTGGGGCATCTTCTTGATGAGTGATGTGGGAAGGCCCAGCCCACTGTGGGTGGTGCCACCCCTGGGCAGGTGGGCCTGTGTTGCATAAGAAAGCAGGCTGAGCAGGGGCCAGGGGAGCAAGCCAGTAAGCAGCGTTCCTCCATGGCCTGTGCTCCAGCTCCCGCCTCCAGGTTCCTGCCCTGAGTTCCCTCAGTGATGACTGTGACCATGGAGATGTAAAACAAACCCTTTCCCCACCAAGTTGGATTTGGTTAGTGTTTTTACCACAGCAGTGGAAAGTAATTAAGACAATTTCTAAATAAAATTAAGCATTTTATTTAAGTAGTAGATTTGTCGTTCAATTTAGGCACCTCTTTTAGCAGTGTTTGTTGGTATGTGATGATTCAGGACTAACCCTCTATCCTTGAACAGCTTTATCCTTTGCATTAATTCTGTTCAAATGTTACTGCAGTATTTTCTGGTCACTGTTGTTAGCTTTTTTAAAAAATGTAAGTAAGATGGGAAAACCTTCACCTGCGTCCATCAGAGTCGGCAGCGCTTTTTACTCCTCACAGGTGTTTGGGATTCTTAAAGCGCCTTTCAAGGAGACTGGAGAAGGCTCGATGCTGCGGCTTGAAGACCTGGGCGACCAGCGCTACGCCCCCTACAAGTACATGCTGCGACTCTGCTACCGGGTGCTGAGGCATTCCCAGCAGGACTACAGGAAAAACCAGGTAGTCAGCCTTGGCCCTGTTCTCCGCTGTGTCACAGGTGAAAGATGGTTGTAAAGTGGAGACAACAGGGTGGGAAATTTGACTCTGCGATGTCATGCTTTGTGTCGGCAGCACAAAGAATGTCCTATATGTATTTTTGACTGCATAGATATTTATCCTTCCATATGAGATTAGAATTGTCGGGTGAGGGTGCTCCCCACCTGCATACGTGCTGTGTCTGAGGCGAGCCTCCTCTGTTATGCTGGGGGAATAGAGAGCATTTCTTGGTGGAATTTGTGAGGTGCAATCTTGCCACGTGTGTACCAAGTGTATTGTTTAGTGGAAGAAAGGACGTGCATCTGAATCGGGAAGGGGACGGGGGGAGATGAGTCAAGACAGCAAGTAGGAATTTTCAGGAGGAAGAGCTAGGGAGCCCTGGAGCATGCTGCTAGGAGAATCAAGTCTTTGGGTAGGATGAGAATCATCTTTGGAGGTTGTATGGGAACAGGCATTTTAGGACGGGGGTTCTATTGGTTACTTGTTTGTTGTCTATGACCAAATACCTAACAAGAAACAACGTAAGAGAAGAATTTATTTTGGCAGGAAATGAGACTGGAGTATGAAAACGCAAGGCCCTCATGCCCGTTATCCACTTCCTTCAGTGAGGTTCTACCTCCCAAAGGCTGCACACCCTTTCAAAACTCCCCCAGCCGCTGGGGTCCGAGTGTTCAAACACGTGAGCCTCTGGGGGCATTTTACATTCAAAGCACAGCAGAGCAGGAAGAAAGAGTGATGGATGCTAGCAAGGTGTCCACGGTCCTGGGGTAGCATGAGCTCTGGAGGACAGGGGATGGCTCATGTGGGTCGTAGGATGTAGCTAAGAACTGCTAGTGAAATTCCTTTCAAATCTCACTTGGTCTTAAAAATACGTAATATTTTGTACTGAGTTCAATAATACAAATGTGTGACCTAAAACTTTAACATTTATGGTCATTTGGCAATTTCATTTCCATATTTCTCTCTCTCTCTCTCTCTCTCTCTCTCTCTCTCTCTCTCTTTGGGTCAGGGTCTCCCTGCTGCCCCAATTGGCTTGAAACTCACTATGTAGACCAGGCTGGCCTCAGTCTCACAAAAATCTGTCTGCTCCTCTCAGTGCTGGGATTAAGGGTGTGTCCCACCATGCCCAGACGGACATAGTTTTAAATAAGAGAAAAAGTGAGAAAAGAGGTTAGAGAACCTCTCCTCTCAGAAAAGTTTTGGAAAAAAAAAAAAATGCCTGAACCGAAGGCTTGTGGCACCGAGCCCAACCCATAATTTCCATGTTTCTTTTAATCAGTGTGAGGACAGAATGTATTGCTGGTGTTTATCTGAGTTTAGTCCATGGGGAAATACGATTGATGCAGGGCCTCAATTTCTAGGGCGTAGAGTGATGTCATAGAGGGTGGAGGGCAGTGAAGCTAGCAGTACTTACCATGGACTCATTTATTCTAGGCCCGTTTTAAGTAGTTTTCACAAATCAACTCAGTTTCCATGGTACTGAGCTGACAGAGGATGTGACACAGAGAGCTCAGGTAACTTGCCTATGCTCAACTATTTTTGTTTGTTTTTTAAAAACTTTATTTTATGTGTATGAGTGTGACACCTGCATGTATGTAAGTGCACCTGTGTTGTGCAATGCCCACAGAGGCCAGAAGGAGGCGTCGGATCTCCTGGAACTGGAGTTACAGACAGTTGTTAGCTGCCATGTGGGTTCTGGGAATTGAACCTGGGTCCTCTGCAAGAACAGCCAGTGTTCTTAACTACTGAGCCATCTCTCTGGCCCTTGTTTGTTTTCTTTTTCTTTGTGGCATTGAGGATTGAACACAGCCCCCCGCCCACCGTGTGCTCAGTCGGCCCTACCACTGACGTTTGCCCTGCTCCCAGGGTGCAGTTTTAAGAATGGAGTCAGTGTTCAATCCCAGGCCCTGAGTCATCATACAGTTGCCTCTTGGTAGCCTGAAACTATTTGGCAAGAAAACTCTTTTCTTTAGAAAGAACATGTTAAAATGTGTTGGCTTTGGAATTCTGCTTAAGACTAAGAAAGATCTGAAAAGACTCTGTAAAACAGACTAGACAGAAGATAAATAATTTGCCGAGAAATAGAAGCAATGGTAGAATGCACACAAATCCTTAAACACTTTCTAGTTCAATCATGGTGATGAGACTCCTCTATCTGGTGGGAAGATGCTGACTCTGGAATTACACTGGGTTCCACCGCAGTCCTTTACATAGACAGTGACAATCACAGATGTAGACCTGGAACGTTCCAAAGACAGACCTTCAGGCACTCATGGATTAGGAGCTAGAGACTCTGGTAGAGGGTGCTCTGGCTGACTCAGCAGTGCTGTGCTGTGGAGAGGCAGCTCTGTGTTTACTCCCCCACCCCAACCCCTTCTTGACTCTGGAAAACTCTGCGGTCATCCTGGATACTCGTTATTTTTCTTGTAGCTGTGATCAAATACCTGACAGAGCAGCTGGAGGTGAAAAGGTTGACCTGGTTCAGTTTGAGGGTATGGTTCATGATGGTGCAGAAGGCACAGGCTCTGTGCCGGAGGGACCATGAGGCAGCTGCCTGCTTACCTCTCGGCAGTCCAGGAAACAGAAAGGACAGGAAGCAAGGCTGGACTCTAACCCTCAAGCCTGTCCTCAAAGATCCAGTTCCTCCACACAGGCCTCCCTGCGCAAAGGCTCCCCGGCCTCCAAAACGGGACCAGCTAGGGACGGAGTGTTCACACACACGGGACTGTGGGGCATGTTACATCCGCACTGTAACGTCTCCCATCCCCAGCTTTATTTTCTGCTGCTTCACCCATGGTCAGGCTTGGTCCGAAAATAATAATTGGAAAATTGTAGAAATAAACAGTTCCAGAAATAAACTTTTGCTTACCTGGCTACTCAGTACCCAAACTACTATTTTTTTTTTTTTTGGTGTTTTTGAGACAGGGTCTCCCTGTAGCCCCAGCTGTCCTGGAACTCACTATGTAGACCAGGCTGGCTTTGAACTCACAGAGATCTGCCTGCTCTGCCTCCCTAGTGCTACTATTTTAAGTAACTTTTATTACAGTGCACTGTTACAGGTGCTCTATTTTATGATTTTTCATCATGTCAGGCTTTCACTGAACCTAATTTACAAATAGAACTTTCTCATAAGAATGGATATATAGGGTTTGATTAAAGATTAAGATATATCTGAAAAGAATACAGTATGGTATACAGTTTTGGAGAGTAAGAGACTGTAGATTGTAGGGTGGGACTCCTGTATGGAACCTCGCCCACCCACAGCTCAGGGACCATTGTGGAAGAGGAGGCGGAAAGATTGTAATAGCCAGGGCTGTTCATGATCACAGGGAGGTGGAGGTTTCCAGGCCACTGGAGGCTTGCTCATGTGTGCCTGCAGCAGCGGTGGGATCCAGTGCAGGACCCACGTCAGCTCACTTAAACAAGGGCCCGAAGAGGAGGTGAGAGATAGGTGGTGGGCCAGCACTAGACTGAGAACTATTGGAGACTGGCTGCTGCTGGGGGAGGGAGAGTATGACTTACATACGACCACTGGATGGGCTGACTAGACTCCAGTGGACACACAGAAGGACATCTGGGTACAAACTCCTGAATGATGAGTAGGACTCAGCATGTATGGCTGAGTGCATAGGGTTCTGGGGGGGGGATGGAGGAGACATGGATGGGGGGTCTGGATGTGAGTGGGAAATGTATGAAATTTAAAAAGCTCAATCAAAGAAAAAAAAACCCGAATATGCTAAGCCATTTCAGGTACCCCCTGGTGGGGCATCTGAGAATTTGCCCCTGAGGATAGGGGACCACTGTACTTTGCTGGACAAACCACCACCCCAAACCACCACCCCATACAGGAAGGCAATGTTGGATTATAGAAGAAACTAACAGAAAACCCCTACAAGCCAGGTAAGGTAGCCCACTCCTTTAATCCCAGCACATAGGTGACAGAGGCAGGTCGATCTCTATGAGTCCAAGACCAACCTGATCTACATAGTTCCAGGACAGCCAGGGCTACAGGGGGACTCTTTCAGAAAAACAAAACAATATACAAACCAACCAACAGTACAGATCTGCGGAGGTTACCCTGGGCCCTCTTCCCATAGGCTCATGATGTGCATCCCTCCACCGCGCTCAGTCTCTACAAGGGTGCCGAGACTCCATCTTTCTGCGGCCTTGTGTCGCATCAGAATCTCATTTACTTGGGGCTGGTTATTCCAGGCTCTGAGAGGGTCCCCAGGGGATGGATTGTGACTGGCGTTCTTTCTCAGCCTCTCCAGGTCACTCCCCCTCCTCCTTGGTCCCTTCTTCCTTAGGCTGTGGACTGGCACTTGCTGTGCTGAGGCACCTGCAGTTTCTGCTCCTAAAATACCCATTGTACTAACAAGCAAACACATGCACACGTGTGTGTACACATTTTTACACATACACTACTGCCTAGACAAATGCTTACATTAAAATATTTTATTATTTTTATTTATTTTATGTGTATGAGTTTATTGCCTGCATGTGTGCAAGTGAACCTGTGTCATGCAGTGCCCACAGATGTCAGGAGAGGGCGTCGGGTCCCCTTGGAACTGGAGTTACAGATGGTTGTTAGTTGCCATGTGGGTGCTGGGAATCAAACTTGGGTTCTCTGTGAGAGCAGCCAGTGCTGTTAACCGCTGAGCCATCTCTCCAGCCCGACAAATGCTTACTTTTGTGACACTTGGTGACCCTTTCTCTGGGTTTCGTTGAGTGTATAGCTGTGGGCAGTTCACTCCTCTGTCCTCCCCAAGAGCTAGGTCGCTGACCTGCCCAAGGGACCAAGACTTCGGGGTGTTCATTGAGGGCTGAGTCTTCTCCTCACTCTGCCCTGCAGCACCCCATTGTAACACTGTGGCTGGAACCCCTTCTCCTTTCTGTTGAATTATGTCTGTATCACCACACCAAGACTCTGGGAACACTGGAGAAGGGAGGATGGAAGGGTTACAAGAGCTGGAGGCTGGGGAGGAATACTGTGAGATGCTGTCTTCTAAACATGACATGGCTGTTGCACCCGTGAACACACAACAGCTGTGGCCACCTGCACAAGATCTGTACACACACACACACACACACACACACACACACACACACACACAAAGACGTAAAAGAGGCTGGCTGGAGAGATGGCTCAGTGGTTAATAACACTGGCTGTACAACGTAGCTAGTGCACACACATAAAACAAAACAAAGCAACACACCTTTAATCTCAGCACTTGGGTGGCAGAGGCAGGTGGATCCCTGTGAGACCAAGGCCAGCCTGGTCTACATAGTGAGTTCTAGGCCAGCTGTCTCAAAAAAAGCAAAACCAAAACAGAACAAAACAGAAAGACATGCCAGGTGTGGTGGTGCACACCTTTAATCCCAGCACTCGAGAGACAGAGGCAGGCAGATCTCTGCGAGATTGAAGCCAGCCTGGTCTACATAGTGAGCTCCAGGCCAGCTGGAGTTACAGGGAGACCTCCCGCCCCCCCCCCCCAAATTCTATGATAGTCAGAGGGGGGACTAGCTGCGAGGAAGAAAGTGGGTCAGCAGGAGAAGGGAGTAAGATGATAATGGGAGTGAACATGTTCACAGTGTATTGTGTACATGTATGAAATTGTCAAAAACAAGAAAAATCTTATGAAAGACTGCTTTGCATTAACTGTAAAATAGTATGAACGTGTGTTGTGGGGTGTTTACCAGAGAACACCATTCAGACACAGAAAATTGCCAAAAAGAAAGCTTTTATTAGCCGTCTGGCGAGTACCCTGGGCATTTGGGTCCCAAGTCCTGAACTGCATAAAAGGCAAGCTTTTATGCAGAAGAAAGCACATCTGGGGTGAAAAATTTGAGTTTCCAAGAGTTTCTGTAGCTTAGAGGTTGAAAGCCTCTCTCACAATTACTATTCTGCAAGAGCAAGCCAAGTGTGAAACACAGAAGCCATAAATCTGCAGTTAGCAGAGCAACCGGGACCTGTTCTCTAGGCAGCCAGAGGCCTGCTGACATATTCTCAAACTCACACCTTGGTGCAGCTGAGCTGCACCTACCTGTTCCCACACCCTGGGACAACTGCCTTTTCGTTTTCAGAGGCTAGGTTCAGTCTGGATTCCAACATGGTGAAGCTATAGTCAAGAAGGTGCCTTATCGATCCCAGCACTCGGGAGGCAGAGGCAGGTGGGTCTCTGTGAGTTTGAGGCCAGCCTGGTCTACATGGCGAATCCAGGCCAGCTATGGCTACAGGGAGACCCTGCCTCAAAAAGACCAAAACAAGAAAATTATTTTTATTTTATGCGTGTGAGTGTATTGCCTGCATGTATGTCAGTGTACCATGTTGTGCAGTGCCGGTGGAGATCAGAAGAGTGTGTCAGATCCCCTAGAACTGGAGTTAAGGACAGTTGTTAGCTGCCTTGTAGGTGCTGGGAACAGAAACTGGATCTTCTGCAAGGGCAGCCAGTGCTCTTAACCACTGAGCCACCTCTCCAGCCCCCCAAACAGCTTTTTAATTTTTTTTTTAAATCAAATTTTAGGTGTAGGCAGAAAAACTTTGTACATTTTTTCTTTGCATTAATTACCTAATTTTCCTTCATCCTCACCTCTATTATGGTACTGATAACAAGTTCATGGGTGATTTAGTGCTAACCCAGGTCTTTTATATCGAGTTTGGGCTTATTACTATTTATATAATTTGATAACACCTCTAATTTCATTGAATTATTTATCAACATCTAAGAAGTTTGCCTTTTGCCAGAATATGACTATAATAGTCATTAAAGTGCATAAATCAATACATATCTTTAAAATGGTACACTGCAGAAGGACATTTACTTTAGTTAATTAGCTGCCCAATAATGGAACCATCATTTTGAAAGGCCACAAAATGCTGCCTAGAATATAATTAGATTTGTGTAACCAAAATCACTCAAGGAATAGATATGTTCTGGTAAATTTCACCTAAGGCAAAACCACTTTCTAATTAATAAATTCTCTCACCATAGAAACAGACGTGCGTCCCCAAGGAGGAGCCCCCAGAAATGGAAAGCATCTGCAGGCACACGTGTTAGGGTCCCTAGTTCTCTGCCAATGTGTTGCTGCTCCACAGAATGTAAAAAATGAGCAGTTGTGGGTGTGAGGAACAGAGAGGTGAAATAATTCGTGACTTAAACTCCCTGGGGCTTTCCCTTGCTCTTAGAATAACTGTTTGGGCCTTTTATCGTGACTCAGAAGGAGACCTGACCTGCCTTTCCAGCTTCTTGTCTTGCCTCACTTGCTGCTGTCCAGCTGTGCCACCTGCCATTACAGGGCACAGCTGGGATTCACTCCCACAGGGCATTTGCACGGGATGCTTCTCGGGCACAGAGTGGATCTCGGTTCCTGTTCCACGGCTGCTTTCCTTCCACCCTTCCACACTTGCTCAGATGTAACCTTTCCTGCCTCACCTGCAGTTGCCACATTTCTCCATCTGTCTGTTTAATTTCACTTGCCCACAGGTAAAGTGACCATATTCCTTTGCTGGTTTGCTGCCATTTGTCTACTCCATGTGAGTTTGAGCGGGAAGCGGCTTCATGCACAGCCCCGTGCAGAGTCTCCCAAATAGTGCCCAGAGTGTTTGAAGTTTTTATTACATTTGTTTCATTAGATGATCATAGTTACTTCCTTTTTATCGATAAGGGTATTAATTTTGGGACATTATTTGTAAGAGAAGTTCTTATTGGTCATTCTACTGTAAGTCTGAGAAGAAAAAGTCAACCTGAATCCATGTAGGAGCTTTCTGTACTTATTTTTTAATTATCTATTTATTTTTGGTCTTTTTGAGTCACGGTCTTCCTGTAGCTGTCCTGGAACTCGCTATGTAGACCAGGCTGGCCTTGAACTCACAGAGATCCACCTGCCTCTACCTCCAGAGTGCTGGGATTAAAGGTGTGTGCCTTCATGCCTGGCTCCACATAGGATCCTTAGATCTTGCCCCTTGGGTCTAAAGCATTAGGCAGTCATTAGCTTTTTAAAAATAATTTTATCAAAAAACTGGTTATGATGTCTGGTAAGAGTTAAAAGGGCAGCTTGTAGGCTGATGAGATTCTAAGTTACTATGGCATAGAAACTGATTTTAGATGCATGTTTGTTTTTCCCACTTACAAGAGTGTAACAATAGTAACAACATATCTAGTGGTGCACGCCTTTAATCCCAGCACTTGGGAGGTAGAGGCAGGCAGATCTCTGTGAGTTCAAGGCCAGCCTGGTCTACACAGTGAGTTATAGGCTAACTGGGGCTACAGGGAGACCCTGTCTCAAAAAGACCAGAAAAAAAAATCTATAGGCTGGAGAGATGCACAGCGGTTAAGACTACTGGCTGCTCTTGCAGAGGACTCAGGTTCAAATCCAAGCACCCACATGGCGGCTAACAACTGTTCATAACTCCAGTTCCAGGGAATCCGACACCCTCTTCTAACCTCTTGTGGGCATTGCACAACATGGGTGCACTTACATACATGCAGACAATACACTCATACACATAAAATAAAAATATTAAAGATTTAAAACCGTGTCTAGTGGCATAAATTTTAATTAGTTAATTAATTATTTGTGGTGCAGGGGATGGAAGCCAGAGCCTTTGTGTCCTCTTTATTTATTTTTAACCCATTAAGTCCAATTTGTGCTGCCCAAATATTCTTGGGTGTGGGACCATCCACTGGATCATGGTAGACCTACAGGGCCGTCTCCCAGATGCTATCAGTTGACATTAGCCCCCAGCCGGGGGCACCATGCCCACTTCCCTTCTCCATACTGGGATTTTGTCTGACTTGAGCGTACTCAGATCTTGTGCATGCCGTCACAACCTTTGTGAGTTTATATGTGCAATTGCTCTGTTGTGTCTGGAAAACACTGTTTCCTTGTGGTCATCCACCACCTCTGGCTCTTGGTCTTTCTGCCCCTCTTCTGCAGTGATCCCTGAACCCTGGGAGGAGAGCGTGTGATACAAGTGTTCCATTTAGGGCTGAGTGCTCCACACTGGCTTATTTCTGCCCACTGACCATCTGTGGGTCTCTGTTAATCACCGTCTGCTGCCGAAAGAGGTTTCTCGGATGAGAGCTGAGAGATGCACTGATCTACGAGTACAGAAATGGGCCACTAGGAGTCGGTTTAATACTGTGTCCATTTAGCAGAATAGTAGTTGCAGGGAGACCCTCCTTCTCCCATGGCCTCTGACCTGTCTAGACATAGGATCTTGGCTCCCCAAATGGTACCAGGTATGGGTTCCATTTTGTGGCATAGGCCATAAATATTGAAGTATTGTTTACTTGCTTTTCTTCTTACATTCAGTGACTTTTTCTTATGACAGTTAATCTGTGTGACCAACCCTCCTGCAGCTGGCTGTCTGCCAGTGTGCCCTCATGACTTTCCTTCTCTGCAGGAGTACATCGCTAAGAATTTCTGTGTCATGCAGTCCCAGATTGGCTATGATATTTTGGCAGAAGATACAATCACAGCCTTACTACATAACAACCGGAAGCTTCTGGAGAAGCACATCACGGCAAAAGAGATCGAGACCTTTGTCAGCTTGCTCAGGAGGAACCGGGAACCGAGGTCTGACTGTGTGCTCTTCTCTAGTGGGGATGGGAGATGTTTATTCTATTTTTTATTTTTGATATTTATTTATTATTTTTATTTTACATGTATGAGTGTATTGCCTGCATGTATGTCAGTGCACCTGTGTTGTGCAATGCCCACAGAGGTCAGAAGAAGCTGTTGGATCCCCTGGAACTTGAGTTACAGATGGTTGTTAGCCTCCGTGTGGGTGCTGGGAATTGAACCTGGGTCCTCTGCAAGAGCAATCAGTGCTCTTAACCACTGAGCCATCTCTCCAGTCCCATTATTTTTTATTTTTAGAAGCTTAAATAGTTACTTCCTTTTGTATTACTGACTCTCATGGACAGAAATGTGTTTATTGCTATAATAACCCTGTCTATTAAACAGTAACTGCTTTATAGGCGATTAAAGCCCTGTGTGAACGTATTTGTTTGGTACTGGGGAATTTAACCTAAGGCTCACATATACTAGGAAGGTGCTCTACCCCCAGTTGAGTGTACCCCAAGCCTTAGACTGATGCTTAAATATAGTTGATTTTCACGTATATATGGCTTTTCAAAATATATTCATATACTATCACACCTGTGATGCCAGTTACACAGGAGGCAGAGACTGACGATGACGAAGTTAGGGTCTGTTTGGGCTACAGAGTGAGTTCAGGGCCAGTCTAGATGACTTAGTAAGGCCCATCTCAAACTAAACTTAGAAAGATGTTGGCAGGTGGCTTAGGGAGAATGTGAGACCCTGGTTCATTCCCCAGTGCTGCAGAAAGAAGTCACAAAACCCCAGATATACTCACATAGGCGTGCAGGCGTGTCCTGCCTGTAGCAGTGGGCCACGTGTGTCCTAGGATAGCCAAGAGTCCAACCCAGCACACTTGAAGATTGTGGCATTGTGTCATCATGTGAAAAGTTGGATGCTCTTGACAGTACATGTCACTTAAATATTACACAGTGCATTCTCATGAGGTGAACTGGCTGTCCATTATTATCCACATTTTGTTTTAATGAAATTAAACAATTTATTATCATTTATTTATATTTTGGTGCTGGAATTTGAAACTTTTTTTTTTTCTCTTTCACAACTGTAGGCCAGGCTGGCCTGGAACTCACTACGCAGCCCAGGCTACCTTAACTTTGTGTACTCCTCCTGCCTCAGCCTCCCAAGTGCTGGGACCATGTGTGTGAGCCACCACACTACTACAGAGCTTTTCTCCACATTTAGAAAGGAGAAAATAAAAGCCTAAATAGCAACCTGTCTGAGAACACCCCCAGCTAGGAAGAGGATGCAGGTCTGTGGAGGGCTTCTGAGTCCCTTAGCACCAGTGCCTCAGCTGGAAAGATGACATAGACACGGCCAGCGTTCTCTCTGATGAGCCTTGCAGCAGCGGACGGCAGAAGGCAGATCGCGGCCTCCCCGGAGGACCAGTGTCATCCTCAACTTCAGTGTGTGCTCTAACCCTGTCTTAGTATGCTTGTTTGGTTTTGATCTTCTGTTCTGGAATATCAAAGTTACTTTAGGGAAGATAAGTGGTTTTCTAGACCTCACACTAAGGTTGAATGTCACTAAATAAATAGAAGCAAATATACCCTTTCTAAAACAAGGCTTATATTGAATAAAAAGAATTGTTTAATTTGCTTTTAATAAGGCAGTAGATCATCAACACAAAGAAAAATGCTGCATTGAAAGAACATCAAAATCATATCAAAATAAGGTTCTCTTGTTAAATTCCAAATTATATTTTTGTTGTGATGCTTTTATTAAAATGCTTTGTCTCGGGCTGGTGAGATGGCTCAGTGGGTCAAAGCACTTGCTATGTAAGCCTGATAATGTGAGTTCTGTCTCTGGAACCCTGGATGTTAAAAAGCTGGATGTAGCCTGGCACGGTGGCACATGCCTTTAACCCCAGCACTCGGGAAGCAGAGGCTGGGAGATCTTTTCAAGATCGAAGCCAGCGTGGTCTACGTAGCAAGTTCCTGGCCAGCTGGGGCTACAGGGAGACGCTGTCTTAAATAAAGAAACAGAAAAAAAAGCTGGCTGTGGCGGCACACGCCTGTATTTGCAGCAGTCCTGCAGTGAGCTGAGAGGCAGAGACAGGAAATGCAGCAGGAAGTTGGTGGTCAGCTAGATTGAAGCTCCATGCAGCATATCAGAAACAGAGAGATCCTGCTACCTCAGCCCAGTGGAAGGAGAGAACTCACTCCCACACACGTATACACACATGCTCCTGTGCTCACGTGCACACGTACAAACACATACATGCATAGTAAATTTAAAAACTTTTCTAGAAAGTAAAACAAAGCCCAGCAAAACCTAACGTGGGCAGATATGATTAAGATCAAAATATACTGTTTACAATAATGAGATTTTCAAAGAATAAATAAGACATATTCTATTAAAAAATAAAAATAGAGCCAGGTGTGGGGGCACACACCTTTAATCCCAGCACTCAGGACGCAGGGGCAGGAGGATCTCTGTGAGATTGAGACCAGCCTGGTCTGCATAACGAATTCCTGGCCAGCTGGGGCCATAGTAGGGAGACCCTGTCTCAAAAACAAACCAATAAAATTAAAAAAAAAAAAAAATCTTTGTCTTAACGTCTCCTTCTTCCCTTCCTAGATTTCTGGATTATTTGGCTGATCTGTATGTGTCTAACATCACTGCAATCCCAGTCACTCAGGAACGCATGTGCAAATTTATGCTGAGTCCTGGCAATGCAGACATTCTCATTCAAACAAAGTAAGCCACTCTACAGAGCCACCTAAGCCTTCATTACTGTAGAAGCATTGCAGTTTTGTTTAAAATCCTAGCCATGGTGTGAGTCTTAATAGAGTGTGCACGTTCATTGATTTCAAGGCTGGTCTCCATGCAAGAAAACCCGATGGAGAGCGTCATCCTGTCTGAGGATATTGACGATGAGGAAGTTTGGCTCTACTGGATCGACAGCAACAGGGAGCCTCATGGCAAAGCCATCAGGCACCTGGCCCAGGAAGCCAAGGAAGGCACCAAAGCAGACCTGGAAGTCCTGACCTACTACGGGTAGTGGCGACAGTCCTCCATCTCATGGGTCCATGGGGAGCTGATTCTCTGGAACGTCTAAGAGCAGAGGTCCATGGAGAGGAGATTGTAAAGCTCTGTCAGACCTTGGCGAGAGAGAGAGAGAGAGAGAGAGAGAGAGAGAGAGAGAGAGAGAGAGAGAGAGGAAGAGAGGAAACGGGGTGAGGCGGTAGATCTGGTGCTAGAGTTCGCTCACAGGCGGTAAGGCCATAGCAGGGCTGTGAGGGCCAGTGTGTGCTCTCCCTGGGCTTACGAACCACCGGTGTCTGCAGTCCTGAAAGTTTGCTGTCATGCAGAAGCACTGAGGTGCCCAGGGGTCAGTGTATCAGGATCAAGAACCTCACCAGGGGACCAGCAAGACGGCTCCATGATGAGGTAAAGTCTGAAGACCGGAGTGTGACCCTAATGTAGGAGAAAACCAAGTCCCAAAAGCTGGTCCCCGGCCTCTTTGTGTATTCCGTGGCACAGGCATGTGTGTGCACCTGTGTGAACACACACACATATGAATGCAGACTCACACCAATAATGATACATTTAGAAAATGAAGGACTGGGCTATAGTGAGACCCTGTCTTAAAAAAATAGAAAAAAAAGTCCCAAAAAGAACTTAACCAGCTCTTGGTTCTTTGACTAAAACCAAGATGGAAGCCCTCGAGTCAATCAGAGACAGTCACAGAACACCTTGCATTTTCTGGTTTCTGTGACTTTCTCAGCAAAACTGACCATTTCTTTTTTTTTAAAAAATTTATATTTTATTAGTACACTATATATATATATGTATAATTGCCTGCATGTATGTAGGTGTACCCATGTTGTGCAATGTTTGTTCATGGAGGTCAGCAGAGGGTATCAGATCCCCTGGAACTAGAGTTATGGACTGTTAGCTGCCTGTGGGTGCTGGGAACTGAACCGGGGTCCTCTGCAAGAGCAGTCTGTGCTCCTATCTGCTGAGCCATCTCAATAGCCCCCAAAGACCATTTTTTAATCTCAAACACTGAAGAATCCTGTGTCCTAGCAGCACGTGGACTGGTCCAGTCTTGTTTGGGATAAGAGGAGATGACCTCAGAGTGTGCTGCTGGAGATACCAGCTGAAGGAGGCTGGGGAAGGTGGACAGAGGTGGTTTCGTGTGACTTGCTGTCCATGGCCTGCCAGCTCGGTGTACTTGGACCCTAGGACTGAACGTTCAGTAACAAGCAGGATGAACAGTAGTGAAGGGGACGGAGTTTTATGTCCATTGCTACCAAAAGATTTTGACGCATAGTTGCACATACTTGGACTAGCCACTGACTGTGCTGTGTGCTGTTCAAGAATTTCACTGAGGGGCTGGAGAGCTAGCCCTGCAGCTGAGAGCACTGGCTGCTCCTATAGAGGACTCCGGTTTGATTTCTAGCACCCACATGGTAGCTAATAACTGTCTGTAACTCCAGTTCCAGGGCATCTGATGCCCTCTTCTGACCTCTGCATTGCACAGCTTGGGTGAGCTTACATGCTTGCAGGCTATAAACTTGTGCACACGAAATAATAAGGGATATCATAACATGCCTCATGTTTTTAAGGTATCAGCTCAACCTCTTTGCAAGGATGTGCTTGGACCGCCAGTATCTGGCCATCAACCAGATTTCTACACAGCTGTCTGTGGATCTGATCCTGCGGTGTATGTCGGATGAGAGCCTGCCCTTTGACCTCCGGGCTTCTTTCTGTCGCCTCATGCTCCACATGCATGTTGACCGCGACCCCCAGGAGTCCGTAGTACCTGTTCGCTATGCCCGCCTCTGGACGGAAATCCCCACAAAGATCACCATTCATGAGTACGTTCGTAAACTGTATTTGTTACTCTTCTTGTTGTGACCAAACACTAGACAAGAAGCACCTTAGAGGAGGAAGGGTTTCTTTGCTCTCACAGTTTGAGGGTGCCACCCTTCATGCGGGAAAGGCATGGTGGCAGGAGTATGAAGTATCTGGTCATAGTGTGTCCATGGTCAGGAGGCAGAGAGAGGTGAATGCTGGTCTCAGCTCGAGTCCTTCTTCACTTTTTATTCATCACTGGACCCCAGCCCAGGAAACAGTGCTGTCCATGTTCAAAGTGGGTCTGCTCTTGTTAGTGAATTCTTTCTGAAAACCCCCTCAAAGATATGCCCAGAGGTGTGTTACCGAGGGAATTCCAGACCCTGTCAGGTTGATTGTGAAGATGAACCATCACAGAAACAGTTCTCAAGACCTTTAAATTTAGCAGCTGAACTCAGAATCAAGTGCCTTCAATTTTGAAATAAAATACGTAGAAAAGTATTTGTGTGTTCTCACTAAACTGTTCATCTGTGAAGAGTGCATGAGATAGCCTTCCAGAGGGCAAAATGGGAGCTTTCAGTGCTAACAGCAAGCCTCTTTCTGGGAGCCAATAAACAGGTAATGATAGTAACAGCTTGCCAAGTCCGTGATTCTGGCTGGCTCCGACTTACATGGTCCGTCTCGATTTGCAGGATGCACACCTAACGGTTAACTGAGCTGTCCAAGGCAATGGGCTCAGAACCTAGAGCATGAAGTAGTCCTGTTTTTTAGTTATTATCATCAGTTTAACTTGCTTTGTCTCTGCCTCCCCAGATACGATTCTATCACAGATTCTTCTAGAAATGATATGAAGAGGAAGTTTGCACTGACAATGGAATTTGTTGAAGAGTATTTGAAAGAAGTTGTAAATCAACCTTTTCCTTTTGGGGATAAAGAGAAAAATAAACTAACATTTGAGGTATTTTTAAATCGTTATTTGTGGGGAGATGAAGTGTTCCTTGTCAGAAATTAGATACATCAAGCATCAAAGGTTTTTTTTTTAGTATTTAGAGTATTTGAGTAGTTCAATTTTTAGGTTCATGAATGTATGATTTTCTCTGTTACTGATAAAATATAGATTTGGTATTTTTAATATTTACTATTTAAAGACCATACTTTATTTTATATATAGCAATAAAATCTACATGTTAAATAGCACTCTATTAGAATGATTTGTATAGTTTAAAAACATTAAAAAATTTTTTGAGACAGGATGTTACTATGTAGCCCCAGCTGGCCTTGAATTTACTTTATAGAACAGATGTGTATCTTATGTCTGCCTGTCTCTGCCTCCTGTGTGCTGGGATTAAGGGTGTGTACCACCATGCCCAGAGTCATAGAGTTTTAAATAGGAGGATAAAACAGAAAATTTTCAGGTCACAGAACCTCTCCCTTCAGAACAACTTTGAGAAAAAAAAAAAAATCTCTTTTTCAAAGCTGGTCAACGAAACAAGTGTTTTCACTCACATCTAATATTCCCAGTGCATTAATGGTCACTAGAATAAAAAAGAAGCTTCTCTTTTTATTGTTTTTATTTTTTATTATATCTTGGTGTAAAATTGAAACACTTTATTTTAATTATCCATTAATTACTGCCTGCCTTGTGTGTTTCATATGTGTAAACTTTGTCACGTTTGAACACTGACAGTTTTGCATGCTTTAGATGTCTCTTTCCCATCTTCATGGAAGTGAGGGTTTAACATGCCTAATTTAACTAAATTGAAATTTAAGGATATGATGACAAAGCGAGAGAGGGGACATAATCACTCCATCCTTGTGTGTGAGCTGACTACTGTCCTGTCACCCAGCGTCATGGTCTAGCTGTCTACTGCTGTGTAGCCTGTCAGTCTAGCATCGTGATCTAGCTGTCTACTGCTGGGTGGCCTTTCAGCTGAGCATTGTGGTCTAGCTGTCTACAGCTGTGTGGCATGTCACCCCAGGGTCGTGCTGTGTGGTCTGTCACCCCAGCGTTGTGGTCTAGCTGTCCACAGCTGTGTGGCCTGTCACCCCAGAATAGTGGTCTATGTTTACTGCTGTGTGGCCTGTTACCCCAGTGTAGAGCCTGAAGCAACTAGCAGGTACTGGGGTCAGGAGCAGCTCCTGGAAGCTCTGCCTCTCTCAAGTGGCTGGTGGCCATATTTTTGACCAGACACTTTAGCTTCTGGCCATGTGGGCTGAGTGTCCCCATGACATGATACCTGGCTTCCCACAAGGCAAGCTAGTGAGAGAGAAAGAGAGAGAGAGAGAGAGAGAGAGGAATACAGTCTTCTGTACGGACATTGTCTGTATAGAAGTCTATAAGCCAGGTGTGGTGGCACACGCCAGATCTCTGTGAGTTCAAGGCCAGCCTGGTCTACATAGTTCCAGGCTAGCTGGGGCTACAGAGAGACCCTATCTCCAAAAGACCCCCCAAAAAAAGAAAAGAAAAAGAAGTCTATAATCTAACATTGGCATGATGTGCCATTTCTGATACATTCCCTTACACACTGGGGATTGGGCTGGGGGACAGCCTACATTGAATCCACATCTTTTATAAAATTTTATTTTTATTTTATGTGTATGAGTGTATTGCCTGCATATATGTAAGTGCACCTGTGTTGTGTAATGCTCGAGGAGTCAGAAGAGGGTGTCAGAACTGGAACTGGAGTTATGGATAGCTGTTAGCCGCCATGTGGGTGCTGGGAATCAAACCTGAGTCCTCTGCAAGAGCAGCCAGTACTCTTAACTGCTGAGCCAGCTCTCCAGCCCCATGGAGGCACATCTTATAGACTGACTCTTCATCATTTTTAAATACTTTGGTACCCAGCAGACCACAGGACAGTGTAGGGGACTTGAATTTCTGGGCAATTTTATGGTTCATATTTATTGAAGCAATTTAACCACTTACTAAGTGGTGTTCTCTTGACTTAAGTGAATTAGTATTTAATTAAATTGAAAATAATTTTACTGTAAACCTAAATCACCTTAAAGCCTCTTATGACTTGCATCAATCACAACTCCAGCCGTAGCTTTGTAGGGGTTTTAGCTACTAGGTGTCATAGAATTAGGAGGTTTAGAAATACCTGAACTAGTCGGACGTGGTGGTATACACCTTTAATCCCAGCACTCCAGAGGCAGAGGCTGTTGGATCTCTGAGAGTTCAAGGCCATACAGTGAATTCCTGGCCTCCATAGTGAATTCTGGGCCAGCCAGGGCTACATAGTGAGACCCTGTGTCAAACACCACCAGCACCAGCAAAAGAAATATCTGAACTAATTTAGATTTAAAAAACACAAATGCCCGCTTCACTTTCTAACCCTTCTCCCTGCTCTTCTGACACTGAAGGTGGTTCACCTGGCTCGGAACCTCATCTACTTCGGATTTTACAGTTTCAGCGAGTTGCTTCGCCTGACGAGAACGCTTCTGGCCATCCTAGACATCGTCCAGGCCCCCGTGTCATCCTATTTTGAAAGGTTAAGCAAATTTCAAGATGGAGGTAAGAATGTCTGAGAAATGTGATAATGTGGTTGTTATACAGGGAAGATGAGGTCAAACCTATAGAGAACCGGTCTTAGCACGTCCCTTCCCAGATACGCATGGAGCTTGTGGTGGTGCCCTGTGACAACAGGGTGGGCTTCTGAGCCTGTTCCTTGCATAGTAGTATTTTTTGCATATTTATGTGTCTGGTGTGTGTATTTGTGTTCATGTGTATGGGCACACTTGTGTGTGCGTGCCGGTGCTCCTGCATGTCTGTATGAATGCATGTGGAGGCCTGAAGTTGACATCAGATACCTTCTTTGATTGCCAGCTACTTTATTAATTGAGGCAGAGTCTCTTCCTAAACCCAGAGTTTACCGGTTCTGGCTAGTGTAGGTAGCCAGCTTGCTTTGGGGAACCCTGCCTCTGGAGTGGTGCAGTTATAGGCGGCTGCCATGTCTGCCAAGCTTTTACATGCATTCTGGGGATCTGAACTCAGGTCCTGACACATGCCTAGTACTTTAGCCACCGAGGTATCTCCCGAACTGTTGTGCTAATCAATATTTTAAAAGATGAATTCATGAGATCAAATTCCATTTCATTAAAAAATTGTTATTATGAAAGAATCATATCCTCCTTTCATTTGTCATTGTTTCCTTTGTGTCTGGCTTTCTTTGGCGCAGGGCACAGGAAGAGGGCAGAGTGGGGAAGTGAGGGCCAAGCCAGGAGGGGAGGTGGAGGAGGAGGGGATGCCTTTGAGTCCTCGTTCCCACGTTCACACACTGCCTCTCCATTTATTGACTTGTGTGAAGTGCTTGTCTCGGTGGTTTTCTTTCTCATTTGAGATAGAAATATGGTAATTGCACTGTCTTCACACAGTCCTCATGAGACACAAATGCACCTGTGACCTGCTGCGTCAGCCCCTCCTCAGTGCTCAATACCTAACAGTGGCGGTGAGGGAGGATGGGTCTGTTTTGGTACACGGTTTGAGGGCACAGTCCATGATGGTGGGAAGGCTGGTGTTGGAAGGGGCGACAGGGCTGTGAAGCTGTTGGCTCACATCTCTGTGGACCAAGAAGTAGAGAGGGGGATGCTGGTGCAAGTCTTCCCTGTTCCTTTTCCTCTTATAGTCTTTCCTGTGCCCAGTCCATGGGATGGTGCCACCCACAGTGGCGGTGGGTCTCTTCCTTCATTCTTTCTGGAAACGTCCTCACAGATGCCCTAGGCATTTCTTAATCCATTAAAGATGACAAAATTAACTTTCAGACTTGCAATAGTGGCTGTCTCATCACTATATTTTATTTTATTTTTTTATTATTTTATGTGTATGAGTGTATTGCCTGCATGTGTGTAAATGCACCCAAGTTGTACAGTGCCTTCAGTGGTCAGTAGAAGGGGTCAGATTCCCCTGGAACTGGAGTTACAGATGACTGTTAACCACCATGTGGGTGCTGGGACTCAAACCTGGGTCCTCTGTAAGAACAGTCAGTGCTCTTAACCGCAGAGCCATCTCTCCAGCCCCGTCACTATAATTTTTTGATAATGGTGATTGTCTTGGGTTGGAAGCCTGAATGTGCCCCAACATAGGGAGTTGTTTCCAAGAGTTATAATGAGGAATGTATTTATTCAGGGTACATCCCTGTAAAGATGTGAAGAAAGGGGGATCAGGCAGATAAACTGATCCATAGTCCAGTCAGAACTGAGACGGCAGCTCAACACACAGGGTGCTCTGAGATGCGGTGGCCATTTGGAGTTCTCATTGAGACAGAGTGGCCAAGCTTTGTGTCCATCAGCTGCTGGACTCATCATGGAGGGTGTGTAATGTTGGGGAAAGTTGGTCCCTTTGCCCAGGAGTCATGTTGAGTGAGAGACGTGATTGCTGATGCCCGGGAGCTAAGGGGAAGCAGGGCTGAAGAGAAGTTTATTCATAGTGCACAGCAGTAGCCACTGTAGTACCCAGTATAGGGTGGAAAATGTAAACCCAAGGCTTCTAACTCCAGACATGAACAACCAGCAGACTGAGAATTCAAATGAGGCACTGCAGAAAAACTGAAGTTATTAATTGTTGTTACCCAAATCTCGGTCCCTTTGATTCAGTGCAAAAATATAAAGCAAAACAAAAGAAGAACAGCAAAAATCACGTCAATCCTTCAGCCATAATTTAAGCCCTGAAGTCAGTACAAACTGTAGTTACTCTAAGTAGAAACATCAATGTTCGGGGCAGATATCCAATGGCCTCCAACTGCAGGTCACAGTTCGGGGCCTTTGGAAAAACAAAGTTGCATAGCTTTTCCTAGGAAGATGTGAACATGTCTGTTCATCCAAGGCAGGGCACCGACGACAGACCAAAGAAACAGTTACTCCCAAGTCTAGCTTAGTGAACTCGTGAATTTATCGGGGTTACTTATAGGAGTGTGGGTGACTCAAAAACAGCTGCATTACTGAAAAGGCCACCCCAGCGTGGCAACCACTCAGGAAGGCTGTGTCCCTGGAGCGCCCTGCACCACCTGCAGGCAGCTTGGCACATGGGAGAGCTGCCTATTGCTTTTGTAACCTTGGTGAGGGCACTTGTGGATCTTGTAAGTTTCAGGAGCATTTGTTTCCTGTGTCTTATAAGCCCTCTTCGGATCCATGTAGCCGGGATGCTTCAACTTGGAGGGATCAACTACACAAGTGTTAATAGTTTGAGTATGAAATGTCTCCCAAGTGCTCATGTGCTTGAACTCTTGGTTCTCAGTCCCTGGTGGTGGGAGATTGTGGGGCCTTCAGGAGGTGGACATTTTCTGGAGGAAGGTGGAACACCGGGAGTGAGCTTTGAGGTTCACAGCCAGGTCCCAATTCCTGTCTGTTCTCTGCTTCCTGTTCATGGAGATATGTGGATTCACCATGACAGACTGTGTCACTGAAAACTGTGAGCCAAAATAAACCCATCCTCCCCTGAGCTGCTTTGGTTCAGTATTCGGCAACACAAAGGGAGTAAGTAATACATGCAGGGAGAAGCGAGAGAGGGTTGTGTGAGAGTTGCCCTTCGACAGAGAAAGTGTGAGGGACCAAGAAAGCATTAGAAGATAGGAACATCAGGCAAAGAGGAGGGACTCAGAGGACCACAGAAGGCAGCTCTGGAGCTTCTGGGCATGAACGAGCTTAGAAGCTGGGAGTTGGGGGAGTATCCTTTAAGTCTTGTGTGCAGAGGGAAAGAAGGGAAGCAAGATGTGAGCCCCAGGGGACCAAGAGATTCAGACACACATCACTGCCCCCCATCTCCAAGCCATTTTGAAGAAGCCGCACTTCACAACTCAAACAGTAGAGGGAGCGCTTGAACCAGAGATGGCGGGCACCAGCTTGTAATGTCCGTCCTGCTCATACAATGCATGGACTACATCCCTGCTGACCTATGTGAATTACTATGTGACTGAGACAAGACAGAACATCAGAACATCCCAATAGATGGGAAATTCTCTGGAAAGCAAGCATGAGGCAGAACAGTGATTATTTTCAGGTAAACATTTGACTACGTGAAGTACAGAAGCGTGAATTTAAAATCCAAACGTTAAATAAATGTACCAGCTGGAGCTCCAGGGAGACCCTTTCTCAAAAAGACAAAAAAGGGAAAAGCACCAAAGCTGGGGTGGTGGCATACACCTTTAGTCCCAGCACTTGGGAGGCAAAGGAAGGAAGGGCTCTGTGAGCTCCAGGCCAGCTGGGGCTACAGGGAGAAAGAGAGAAAAAGTAGATCAAAACATAGGAAGAAATGACACTCAAGTTGATTCAGAAGAAACAGAAATCAGGTGGTAGAATTTATTTAATTTTGGAAATACAGACTCCGTTAGATATTTAAGGAAGATTAGATTTGAATGAAAATGTGCTGAGGGACTTGAAGGAGGACTAAACAGAACGATCATGGTGTAAACAAGCAACAAGAGTCAGAGAAAAAGTGCAGAGACGGAAGAAAGTCAAAGAAGAGGTTACACCAGTGATTGGAGTCCCCGGAGAAGAAGAGTAAAGTGATGGGGCAGAGAAATATTTAAAATTATGATACAAGAAATGCTCTGGGGATAAGTGACACCCGGATCCACATAGAACAGTGGCCTAGACTGGAAATCTCTAAATCACAGCTATCACGTAATTGTAGATCTGAGAGAGTAGTGGGGGGCTGAGAGAGGATCAGGAAACAGAGAAGGGAAAGGGTATGAGAGTTCTTTACTACCCTTCTTCCTTTTTTGTGTTTTAAATTTTATCAGAGCAAAAGCCCACCGCAGTCTATGAATGAAGGCAAAGCCAGACCTGGAGTTGCTGGGGCAGATCAAAGAGCTGGGCCTGCAGGTGGTCCGTCCTAATTCTACCCCACCTAGTCTCACCAGTGAGACTTCAGCAGTCCCAGAGGGTGTATGCCACCCATGGTTCCCATCCTAGAGGGACTTCCATTGTGTGCTTGCCTCTATGCCATCCCTAAAATTGATCTTGACTCTGGGTTCCAGTGTTTGCATTCTGCTTATGGGGATCAATCCAAAAGAAGTCTTTTCTCCTCCTCTGAAAAGCTGGTAATGGCTGTTTGCTCTCTCTTCGGTCCTGTCCTAGACACCTGTGTGTGAGTGTGTGTGTCACTGGACATGGAACCCAGAGTCCTGCATGTAACACCCGTGCAATCTATCACCCAGCCCATACACATCTTTTAAAACAGTTCTCATCTTTTCTGGTGAATTACATTCACCGTTTCCTGCCTTCAGCATTAATTTAGGTATAGAGAACCGTTGATTCATTCGCTCAACTAGATATATTGATCTATCATTGCATGCCAGATCCTGTTCTAGACTCTGGGAACTAACAGTGATCCAGCAGAGTCCTTAGCCACAAGGACAATTCACACCTAAGTAAATAGACTCAGTTTCTCCCTGTCCTTACGGTAAGTAGGTAAGTAGGCAGATGCTAAACCAGTGAACCTGTCCTGTGGCTTTAATGATGATGGAATGAAGCATCATGTAGGACAGGGGTACAGACAGTG